GGAGTACCCCTTCAGTGGGTCTATCTAAAAGACTCCCAAATTGCATAACTCTTATCTCTAGGGGGAAAAGAAAGTCCTTGAAGCCTGAATAGAAGATGTGAAGGAGAAGTAAAAGCAAGAATAATTACCATTACAAATTCTAGACAGGGAACTAGAAAAAAGTCAGAACAGGGCAATTTTCAAGTGTTCATATGAGAGTCTATTGGAATTTCTTGACAAGGCTTCCAAAAGCATCCCTCTATTGGGTTCCTCCTCATTGTTCTTTTGTCTTCCAAGGCTGGACTCTAGAGTGATGGATTCAGGATTTGCTTTCAGGTATTTTGATAGCTGTTAGAGTGGTTAGAATCAGTGTCAGTTCCCTCTCAAAGGCTTCGAGATAACTGAGGGGTTGCTGAGGTGTATGTATGACCTGAGGGTTTGCACACTGGAAAGACTTTACCCAGCATGGGTCATGCCTTCTCTTCCTAGCCTTCCCCAGATTGTATACTTTAGCCCTCCCCAAATCCAGGAGGCCATGTGTGATTAGGGTCAAATTACATACAGTTGGCTGGGAAGAGTGGCTGGATACTCCAGTGAGGGTCCAGTGACTCTGCTTGGCCTTCCTTTAATGAATGAGCACAACTGTCAACAAATCCAATTGTGACAATGTTTAGCAATCAGGCTCAGCTGAAGTCATGATGATGGTAGTTATTTCATGCAGAAGGGACTGCTGTATTGCATCATGTTAACAAAAGGACCTGGAATTTAAAAAGATTTGGTGCTAAGATCCACATATGAGGGAGAACATCGTTTGTTTTTCTGAGTCTGTGTTACTTCACTTAGTATAACAGTTTCTAGATCCATCCATTTACCTGCAAGTTTCATGATTTCATCTTTCTTTACAGCTGAATAGGACTCCAATGTGTAAATGTACCACATTTTTGTTAACCACTCCTCAGTTGAGAGGCACTTAGGTTGTTTCCATCTCTTACCTGTTGTGAGAAGCCTGGCTCTAATTTTTGGCTGCCATAAGGTCAGTAGTTTTTCTCTGCCACGCCCTTCTACCTTCATGTTTCTACAAACTGAAAAGCAATGAAGCTGGCCAGTCATGGACTAAAACCTCTGAAACTGAGAACTAAAATAATTCTTCAAGGTAATTTAAGTGGGTATTTTGTCATAGCAACGGAAAGCTAACACGTTTCAGTTTAGGAAAATGAAGCAGCTTTTTAACCCCAAATCTTGGGGTTTGTCTGTTAGTCCCTATGCCAGGGTGTCTCCAAGAAAGCAGAGGCTTCAGTCCAAACGTTAACAATCTGTAAATTAACTGGCCTGAGGCATTGGCCTAGTGAGGCTGGGGCCCCCTCTAGGAGTTTGAATTTGGCCCCATCCTCTACTTTCCCATCAGTATCTACAATGTGCCAGAAAAACAGAGTCCTGGAGCAAGAAACAGAGCAGAGACACACAACGCACCCCTAAGCACACTGTTGATGGCAAAACTATACAACTAGTGTTAGGCAGACTGGGGAAGAGCTAGGAAAAAGAAAGATCAGTCTGGACTGGCTCCTGCTATGGTCAGAAAATGAGAGCATGCCTGAGCAAAGAAGGGGTGAACCATGCATGGCTGGCAAGTGTGTGTCCCAGAAACTGCATTACCAAGTCTAGGCTTTAACGTAAAGCAGCAAAGGGCCCCAAGCTGAGGAAACACTCCAGCTATGGTATAAGGAATGGATCAGCAGAGGCGGCCATACTGCAGGGAGACAGCCAGAGGCTGCCACAGAAATTGTCAGGAAAACAGCGCCTGGTCTAGACAGTCAGCAGGCACAGTGGGTAGGCCTTGGCTACTGACGAGGTCGCCCCAGGTTATGGCTTGAGCAACAGATACGTAACTAAAAGAACACTGTGTCTGGGACAGGTATAGAAAAGGCCAGGGGTTTGGGTTTTGCAAAGCCCATAGAATGAAGCCTCAGAGGCAGCAGCTACAAGCCCAGGCCTCATGAGCTAAGGCAGCAGGGATGTGAATGTGGTGACTGGAGCCCCAGAATGACAGGGACACCTGGGAACTAGAGGGTGTTAAGGTTCAGAAAGCCCCACCCCCTCACCAACAGGGCCTCACAAGCCCCTGAGAAAAGGGAACCAAGTTGATAAGCACCCTGGTCCTTGAAGTCAAGAGAAGCAGACTTTTCTCCACTGTTTGGCCAACACAGCAGGCTTCCCCTTTGATCTCTAAAGAGGGCAAGTTTTAACAGTCCTACTCTCCCACTTCCTCCTGCCCAACTTTAAAAAAACTACATCTTCCCGCCTTCTGCAGGAAGCAGAAGCCTCCCCCTTTAAATGACCCAGCTCACGACCTGGGCAGATATTTTTCCCTGCCCAGAAGGGAATCTGTCCCATGTGTTCCTTTGCTAATAAACTCTATTCTGATGGAGTTTTATCTGTGTCCTGGTGCTTTCTCCAGATCAACCGGATTCATCCATAAACTACTTTGTCTATCAGAGGGGGTAGGGAATGCTTCAGCAGAATATCACCATCTATGGGATAGGCAAGGGAAGAGTCATCCAAAAAGAAGGAAATCTGAGGAGCAACCATGGGAGTGCCAGGAGAAATGATCACAAAGACAAAGGGCAACACATCTCTAAAAGTAAGAAGTGGTCAACAACACTCAAGTGCTCTCTCCCACCCCAGGCAACATATAGGTCACCATACTCCTCTGCACCTTCAAAATACACTCCCTGGGTGCTGGGGAGATGGATTAGTGGGTAAGGTACTTGTTGTACAAATATGAGGACCTGAGTTCAAATCCCCAGAACCCATGTAAGTTAGGTGTGGCAGACTGCCTGTCATCCCATCTTGAAGGAAGCAAAGGCAGGGAATACCCAGAGCAATCAGGCTAGCCAGTCTAGCCAAAGCACTGAGTTCCCAACTCAACAAGAGACTTGCCTCAATATATACAGTGAAGAGCAACTGAGAAGAACACACTCAACATTAACTCAGGACATCCACATACAAACACAAACACATGTGATATACCCCCCCCAAGCACACACAAGGGCAGGGTGGGTGGGGGGCTACACATACTTCTGTCATGGTAGCATGTACCTATAATCCCAGGAGTCAAGAGGCAAAAGGGAGGAGGATCTAGGATTCAACACTAGACAAAGATACAAAGACAGACCCTATCTAAAAACAAACACCCTCCACACACACCTTTAATCTCAGCACTCCAGAGGCACAGGCAGGTGGATCTCTGAGTTCCAGGACAGTCTGGTCTACATAGCAAGTTCCAGGCTAGCTGGGGCTGTCTCAAAAACAAAACAAAACCACAGCTGGGTGTGGTGGCGCACGCCTTTAATCCCAGCACTCGGAAGGCAGAGGCAGGCGGATCTCTGTGAGTTCAAGGCCAGCCTGGTCTACATAGTCAGTTCCAGGACTGCTGGGGCCACAGGGAGCCCTGGTCTCAAAAAGACCAAAAAAAAAAAAAAACCCAAAAAAACCCAAACCACCCCAAAAAAAAAACTAAAAAAAACAAAAAAAAAAAAAAAAAACCCAAAAAAACCCAAACCACACCAAAACAAAAACTAACAACAACAAAAAACACACAAAATCTAGAAGTTAATATGTTTATTTGTGTAGTAGGAACATTCAGGTATATAAATAAGTAAATACTTTTCAATATACAATATATCACATTCTTATGTGTGCTGTTCAATGCTGATCCTAAGTGCACAGAGAAAGATCAATTGTTACTGATTCGTGAGGGCTGAGGAGATGGCACAGCAGGAGAACACAGCACACGCCTAGGAGGGAGACTTGAAGGACTGTCTCACGGACTCCAGACACTCAAGCACTGTGTCCAAGTGCGTCTGAGGACAGGGCAGCAGCTTTGCAGTGTGAGACATATGAATTCAGCAGGTCTGTCTACACAAAGGGAAAGGTCAAGAAACTGCCTAGGGTGATCTCCCCCTACCTTGGGACCTATTAAACATCAATAAAGAGTTTGTGTCAGTACTGACTCTAGAAGGTCATCGATAAGCTCCAAATTTCCCTGGATAGGTTTTCTGGGCCATTTTCTGGATGCCACAGCCACTGGGGACCCAGGCCAAGGAGCACACTGCTGACCTGAGTCACTTTTAGTTCGTGACTCCTAGCCCCTTCCCTTGCTCTCTGTTCCTCCTACTGCTATCCCTATGGCTTCACAGGAGTCCCTGAGCTAGACAAAAACTGCTGCCCCCGAGTGCCTCATTTGTTCTCTATCTTCCAAGTGCTTTAGTTTCTGGCTAGCTTTCTTCCTTTGTCATCAGCCCCAGATACCTGCCCGGTAGTGACCAAAAACAGAGACAGAAATGAGAAGAAAAAGCATGCTTATGCTCGCTGAAACAGCATTCAGATCACTGAAGAAAAAAAAAATCCCTAACCTTTTTCTACATTCCTGTCCTTTGAGAGAAGCCTGCAAAACAAGTAAAGGAACCTGACAGGGCTGAGAAACAGTGACCGAAAGCAAAGAAGGCTGGAAAGAGGACAAACACAGTCACATCAATCAGGTGACCCGAGTGGTGAGGCCCTCCGAAGGCTGCACTCAGGGAAGGCCTCTAGGAGCTACAGAGCCAGGCCCTAGCCAGTCCCAGGAGAGCACCGCACAGACAGCGAGTCAGTGCTCTAGGGACTCTCCCAAGGAGGGGCTTTTCTCATAAAGGGCTGTCTGGGTCCATTAGATGGCACAATGAAGGAGGGAGTGTCAGGACTGGCAAACACAAGTCTGCAAGGCTAAAGATCCTTCAGAGCAAGCCGAGGAGCAGGCCATTTACAGAAGCCTTCACAACCACCTTTTCCTGATTCTTCTATCTCCATTGCCATCTATAATTAACTGAAGAGATGAGGACAGTAGTTAAATTCTAGCAATGGGCCTCTGGGTCCCTGGAAATACTCCACAGTCAGACTAATACTTCTGAGTTACTACTCACCTGGCCTGAGAATTTCCTGGTTTTATGAGTCAATGCCATTCATTCAAAGTGAAGACTCATTCAATACAATACTCCTAACTCCCTATGTTCATTCAGAAAATTGAATTAAGTATTTTCTCCATTCATGATTAATAATCCATAGATCCTTTGCTAACTAGAACAGAACAGAAACACCCCACATCACCTGTCCCCAATGGTCACCTTCTCTAACCTGTTCCTAGTTTTAAGAAAGAATGAAACACTTGGTGGAATGGTTGTGGTATCAGCGTGGGCAGAGCGTTTATGCTTTGGATGGTGCGATCAGCTTCAGAGCACGTTTTTTTCCCTACTCTTCTCCACTCCTGAAAATAGCCATGTGCAGAGGGAACTGTAGGTTCCTGAACTATACAGATTAGAGCCCTTGGCTGAGGAAAGTAGGGTCCAGAGCAAGTCATGACAGGCCCTCACTACTCACAGAATGAAGGCACCACCAGGCCAGAGTAAACTGTCCTGTGAGCAGTCTAGACCATGTGCTCAGGAGGACAGAACACATCTGAGCATCACCTCCCTTTGGCTGGCCTCGATGACGTATGAAGCACTAAGATGCTGTAGACGGCTGTTACTGTTGGATTGCTGAACTGCATCTCTTGGAAGGTCAATGTGGTCATTATACAGACCATGAACACCAGACTGTGTGCAGAGTGGTGACAGTGTGGTGGCTGAAAACCCAGCCTCTGCCACTATACCAATGTGAGTCAAACTACCCACTGAGTTCAACAACAAAAACCCTATCATTTATTGAGTGCTTACTATGTACCAGGCACCATGCTAAATGCTTACATTCATTAGCTCATTAAATCCTTACAACCGTCCTCACAGCTGCTGGTTGGAGATGAAAGCTTCCAGCAGCCTAGTAATCTGCCCAGGGCAGGGCTGAGTCAGAAGTCTGTCTTCTTCACCACTGTTCTCACCTTCCAGCGCAGAGCCTGCTTCCTCATCTGACAACCAAAGGGTGTCTTCTGGATTAAAAGGGATAATGTATGTAAACCCTCAGCACTGTGTCTGGCACATATTAAGCACTATATAACTGTAATTATTAATAACACACTGCTGATAATCTCCTAGACTGGAGAATAAGATAAGGAGCTGTGCAGATAGACCTCTGGTAAAGGAGAAGGGTAGGGAGAGGGTCTTCAAATAGGAAATGGACTTGAAGCTCACTGGCCATAAAACCCTCGCTTTCATACATTCTGCCCTTCCAGTCTCATAAATCAACATGTTCTAAAGCCCCAACACTTCAGCATCCAAAGCACACTCTCCACACTGCTCTTAATGGAATTCATTGGCCCTGGGAAACAAGGTTCCACACAAACAGATGAGAATCTTGCCTAATGGAGGAGCAGCCCAGCGAGAATAGCCTGCACCCACCGAAAGCCTCTAGTCAACTCGGGGGAAGGGGAAGGCCCTGAAAAGGACAGAAAAGTGGACATTCCAGCAGAATCCGTCAGCTATTAAGCTGGTTGCCCACCCATGGAGTCCCTCAGGTGAGCAATATGAGGACTGCCACAACATGGCAAATGGGCCTAGCAGAGCCCTTTAAATAAGGACCCTCCACCACCAGTTGATCCAAACTCCAGCACTCCACTGTAAGGACCCTACCCAGTAAGGGAAACTGAGTCAGGAAGTGATAATCTCCTTAAAAATGGATGTTGAGCAACTATGTGTAGGGTGATAAAGTGAAAAGGAAGTTTGTTTTCATCAAAATAAGAAAGAGTCTGAACGTCTGCCCAAGAATTAGCTTCCTCTCCTCAGAAGCTGACAGTTCCTTCAGATGATCTCTGAGCCCTGTGCTCATGACAGAGTTAACTACCATTTGATATGTCTACAGTAGCCATGCAGACAGACATCCTCTTCTTGTCCCCCTCCTTTTCGCCCTGACCTGGAAAGAACAAAAACCCTGGGTCCAAGTGAAATCACCCTCCTCCACAGTATGCGAGAAGGGTGGCCCAGACATGAATTACTCTGAAAGACAAAGGACAACACGGAGGTTTTAGCTATGATGCCCCACATTTAGTAGTGAGGAAAACCCACCCCAACCCAGAAATTCACCTCAGGCTGACTTGAAAAGGAACAGAGTGACTGCCATACAGTCAGTCTTCTGTGTGAGACACTGTCCTAAGTCATTGTTCTTCCCCAGCTCTATCAACAGCAACATCAGTGAACCCATTCAAATCAGGTTTTTGGCAATCCAGCTACTAACTAGTCCATCACAAGGTCTATGTTGACTCACTTAAAATATATTGTTAGAATGTTCTTGCATAATGTAGACCATGTAATAGTTTATCCAAGTTTATCCAACGGGGATATCATAAACATTGTTTTGAAATCTACCTGTGTAAATCAGATTTCCCCTTTCTGAAGACTGGTTCACAAACATTACAGAACATTAAGAATAAATCCACTTTAAGTGTGTTTATACTATAACAACTAAAAGGCTATACTTCCTTACGGGATTTCACTTTCAGGAATAAAACACACATGTACTTTTTGGCCACTGAGGTGGTTAAGAGGGTGAGATGTGCATACACAAAGGAAGGCTCAGTTTCTCTGTGAGCAGTCATGAGTGGAGCTTATCAGGAGATTCCCTGGCTTGTACTTTCCAGGATCAGTCCAGTTTCTGGGAACGTCTTGTTTATCAAATCCTTACTTCACCAGGTATAAGCTAAGAGCACTCTAAGTTCTACCATGGCCTACGTCAGGCCTCCAGGGCCTGAGGGAAGGGACACTACAACAATTAAGTAGGAGTGGACCTGGGGAACTATTTAATCTTGCAGGCTGAGTATAAGATCCAGCATTTCCTGACTCCATCTCACGGCCTGGAAAAGCTCTCTACTGGGTAAGGAGCTCATGGCTCTTACCTGCAGTCCCTCAGAAAGCTGTTAAGAATGGATAGAATACAAACTGGAAAACGAAAACCCTCTCAATCAGGACTGCACAGTATTTATGATCACATAAACAAGCGGGAAACATAAAGGCCATGCATGAAAGTGACAAACACTGAATTCATGACAAGGGAGAGAATAAAAATTTTATTTCTGACAAAACAAGGTGAGTCTAAAGCAAGTCATGCAAGCCCCAAGCTCTAAATGGGTGCATGTGAAAACACTCTGTGATCTTGCCTGTGTAATAAGATGAAGAAACAGAATACTGTACAGACACAAGGTGGCACTGTTCTTCCGGCTACTTAACTGGAAAAGTCCTCCTCTTTCAACAAGATGTTGAGAACTCAGAAAAACAAACAAACAAACAAATAAAAAACCCAAGCTGTGCCTTTGGCCTCTTGCTGGCAGCTCTAGTGAGCACCCAGTTTTAGTTTCCATAAGTCTCAGCTGCTGGGCTCCAGCTGAGAGTCCTGTTTTCCAGGACCCCATGCACACTCACAATGGGCATGAGAGATGTGCGATGCCGTTCTCTATCTAGCTTGGTGATCCAAGGTCATTTTTAAGTCAGAAAAGTAGAGTTTCACTCCTAATCACCACTGAAAATTTCTTGCTAAGATACTGACTCATTTTAAGAAGCATTTGTAAAAGGCCTGAACCTTCCTCCTTATTTGGGTGCCCAGGACACGATTCAATAACCACAGGGGCCTCCAGTGATATGAACTTCCCTGCAGGGTCACAGAACCAGTGGACTTAGAGGACAAGTTAGAAAATGAAACCCCTGGAGCTGGAGAGATGGTTCAGTGGTTAAGAACACTGGCTGTTCTTGCAGAAGACCTGGGTTCAAATCCCAGCACCCACATGGCAGCTAAAAACTGTCCGTAACTCCAGTCCCAGGGGATCCGACAGCCTCTTCTGTCCTCAGTGGGCATTGCATGACACAGGTGCACTTACCTACACATAGGCAATACACACATACACATGAAATAAAAATAATAAATTAAAAAAATTAAAAAGAAAATGAAACCACTGAGAGCAATGCCTCCTACCCAGGGTCACAGGACAGAGCTGCAGAGACATCCTGTAACAGCAGGCCTTGTTTACTTCAGAACCAAAAAGAAAAGCCGCAAAGCTGGAATGGAAATAAAAATTCAGAGAAAATAAGCTGTTCCAATCTGCACCCTGTGGAAGGTTGTGCCATGACATGTGCCAAGACACCATGTGGCTCCCTCCTCAATGGATACTCAGTAGGATGACTGAGCTTTTGAGGAAGCAGAGAGGTCAATTTAAAAACAAAAACATCACAGATCAGGTGCCAAAGCAGGTCAACCCACCCCCCTCAGCAATGAAAACAACCACAGCATAGAATAACTTAAAATGTAAGGGTTCCAAGATTCTGTACTCAATTGCTCCTTGGCCTGACGACCCGTCCAAAAAAGACTAGTCTGTCTTCCCAAGTCGGTCTCAACGCATGATTAAGAAGGGCAAAGAATAAATCACAGTTTATACAAACAACAACAAAAGGTCCCCCAGTAAAATACAAACTACACTGAAACTGGTCACATTACATAAAGAGTACACTGAGTCTTCAGAATAGAAAAGCCTCTTAACAGATTATGTGTGCCATCGTTTTAAGTAAGACTTATAAATTCTGTGATGAAGTCGGGGTATAATTGAAATTACTGTAAGAAACAAGTGACTTAAACACACAGACACACACTCACCTCAAAAGTACTATGTACACAACACAGCAGCGCTATGGGCAGGCTTTTAGGCAAAGAGTGTGAACCAAAGCCCTCTGCTCCCACCTCTCAGAGTCCCCAGAATTCAGCAGCAGCAAGTCTAGAGCACAAACGTGAACAGCCTCATCCCTGAAAAGATGTGGTTTGCTGGACTGTCCCCCAGCAGTCACTGGAGCCTAGGTCATGAGAAAGGGCTCAGAGACAGTGCATTCTACTACATATACTTGAAATAGTTCAGTGTGGGTTTCTTCCAGACAATCATAAATGATCATTCATGCTTTCTGAAAAAAAAAAATAAAATCTGAAACCTTCTTTCAGTCTGTAAAGTGAAACCAGTGTGGACAGGATGATCATCTAAGAAGCCTCTGTCCCTCAGGCCTACAGCCCTCCACATCCCCCAGGCAGATAGCTGTAGAAGCCCCAGAAAGGTCAAGTAGAGCAAAGGCATCTGGGCCATGCAGCACAGCCCAGGTGAGAAACCCCTTCACCAGTAAGACATAGATGATCTCTCATACAGTTCAGAAACCACTGGATGAATAGGGGCTAGAACCACCACGCAGACACTCTGAGCTGGGCAACACTGTCTTCCATGTTGTTCAATACCTGTGTTTTTAAAACCCAATTGGTTCTACCCTGTGACTTCTCTCCAACTCAGAGCTATAACTTACTCACAACCTAAATTATAAACACAGACTGTATATACAGAATTTGTTTTTAACTCACAAATTTAAAAAAAAAAAAGACTCTACACACATACACAAAGACTGTGAGTTGAAGCTTTTCATTATCAAAGTCACAGCAGCTGGGCTGGCCTTGGTGACCTTTCCCTCACTCAGTCCTGCTCCAGTTCTCCTGGCCCTGGGCAGCCCCTACTCATCCTCCATGGTAGACATCAGAATCCCCTTGTCAGTCAGGTGACTCTTGAGTGTGTTGAAGATGTGGAGCTGCTGATCTGGCCGCAGGGTCAGGAACTGCTGAATCAGTTTGCTTGGGTTAGGGCCCCTACAACAGAACACAAAGAAGCAACCGTGAGCATGGCCACCCACCAGCTTTGTTGGCCCAATTATCCAAGTGGCACTCTGAGCCCTGAATTCCTTCCTAATGGTGAGGGAAGGGGACCTCAGAGAATCCATAAATAGTAACGACTGAAAACTACATTCATATATGAAGTGTTTTTCACTGGAACTTAGATGAGACAGAATTTGAGGATTGCATCATACTTAAAATTCCACCAATACAGTGGAAAGGCATCATACCTGATAAAACTGGCGATGTACACATTGACAAAGGTGGCCATCAGGTACTGACAGTCAAAGCGATCCATGATGCCTCCATGACCAGGAATGGTATTGGCAAAGTCCTGTTAGAGACAAAGAGAGGGAGAGGCTGGGTTCACCAACAACCAAATCCCAGACTAATGGATCCACCCCAGTGTCTAACAGCTACACTGGGTACAGAGGACAATGGGAAGATGCACTGAATCAAATGCTCAGGTGATGGTAGGACACAATACTGTAAAATGTTCTCCTGATGAAAGAAATATTAACAAACTGAAAACTAACTCTGATTTTTCTTGGAAACAATTTATTCTTGTTTAACCCCTTGCTAAATTCAGCACATGGGTCAAAAAGAGTGCACATTAACTGCCGGGGTACATAAGCTGGTATGATAAAGGGGTGAGAGCTGATGGGACAGGGCAGGGGACAGAATGAAGGATGGGCAAGCAGGAACATATAAGGAGCAGAGGATTTCCCTACTTTGATTTTAAAGGCTCGTTTGAATCCACTTGCGAAGAACCCTCCAAAGGGGCCGATGAGCGAGGCAAAAGTGGAGAGGGCGATGCTGTGAATCTGAAAGGGGTACATCCGCACTGTTTTCTGAAGAAAATAAAGGAAGTAAAAGTCAAGGAGTGTGCAAATCCAGGCTTTTCACTTATTAATGGAAATAACTTGAAACAAGTTCTATATTATTTTATTCAGGACTTTTCCCCATCCTTAAATCTATAACATCTGGTCTATGGAAGGCATTAAGGTACTCTAGCCTGGAGTGGTAGCACATGCCTGTAATCCCAGCACTCAGAGGGTAGAGACAGTAAGATTAGGAGTTCAAGGCTAGCTTCAGCTATATAGGGAGTTCGAGGCCAGCCTGGGCTACCTGAGAACCTGCCTCAAACAAACAAAATTTCTGCTATCAACTTCTTATACTGTTTTGCTGGAAATATATCAAAAAAATCTAGTCTTAGCTCTATGTAAAAATATAACTTCAAAAGGAGAGTACTTTAGTAGTCTTCTCAGGGAACTGCGGGTATTCTTTGATATACCAGACTTCGATAAGGGTAGGTTCTCAAGAGTTAGATGCAGGCTAAGGAAATAGTTCAGCAGTTAAAGCACGTACTACACAAGTAAGAGGACTGGAATTTGGATCCCCAAAATTTAGGTAAATGCTAGGTGGGCATGGAAGCTGCCTGTAATTCTAGCCTCTGAAGACAGTGAAAGAGATCCCTAGAGGAAGCTGGTTAGTAAGACTAACCATATTGGTGAGCTCTAGGTTTGATTAAGAGACCCTGCCTCAAAAGAGCAAGGCACAAGGAGCTGGAAAGATGGCTCAGCAGTTAAGAGCACTTACTGCTCTAGCAGAGGACCAGGGCTCAGTTCCCAGCATCCATATCAGGCTGTTCACAACTGCTTGCAACCCTAATTCCAGGGATCTGAAACCCTCTTCTGGCCACCATGGACATTGCTGCATGTACATACATGCAGGCAAAACATTCATATACATAAAATTAAATTAAAAAATCTATTTTTTTTGTTTTTTATTTTGTCTTTTTGGTCTTTTTGAGAAAGGGTCTCCCTGTAGCCCCAGCTGACCTGAAACTTGCTATGTAGACCAGGCTGAGATTAAAGGCATGTGCCACCATGCCTGACTTAAATCTATTTTTAAAAAAAGTAAAATGGGCCAGGCGTGGTGGCGTGCGCCTTTAATGCCAGCACTTGGGAGGCAGAGGCAGGTGGATCTCTGTGAGTTCGAGGCCAGCCTGGTCTACATAGTGAGTTCCAGGACAGCTGGGGCTACAGGGAGACCCTGTCTCAAAAAGACCAAAAAAAAAAAAAAGTAAGATGGATAGAAGATCAATTGAAGAAGATTCCTGACATCAACCTCAGGACTCCATACACATGCTTGGTATACACATGTGCTGGCGAACATAAAAACATGCATACATGCATGTATACCACACACACATAAAAAGAAGAAAAACAAGTTAGGTGCAAGCCAAGAGTGATGGCACTCAGAAGACTGAGGCAGAGAGATTACAACCTCACAGGGAGATCCAGCCTCACAAAAACAAAAGCCAAAGTGGGTTAAAGAGATGGCTCAGTGGTTAAGAACACTGGCTGCTCTTGCAGAGGACTGGGGTTTGGTTCCCAGCACCCACACGGCCGCTAACCTATGTCTGAAACTCCAGTTCCAGGGGATCCGATGCCCTCTTCTGTCGTGCACAGGCACTGCATGGATACGGTGCACTTACATACATGTAAACAAAACACTCAGACATAAAATAAAAGTAAAGGTACAATATGGGATCTGAAATGCTAACGAACCTTTTCTGCTTCCTCACATTAAAACCCATTGGTCTCTCACACACTGAGAACTGGATCTTTTACCCAGACATGACTGTAGAACACCATATACCAGTCATTTTAAAAATATTAGGGCTAGCCGGGTGTGGTGGTACACACTTTTAGTCCCAGCACTCAGGAGGCAGAGGCAGGCAGATCTCTGTGAGTTCAAGGCCAGCCTGTTCTACAAAGTGAGTTCCAGGTTAGATGGGGCTACAGGGAGACCCTGTCTCAAAAAGACCAAAAAAAAAAAAAAAAAAAAAAAAAAAAAAAAAAACTTGGGGAAAAATATACCCCAATTCACTAAGCTATGCAAATCTTCTGCATGTGGGCACATTCTGCTACACAATGTCCAAACTGCCAGGTGCCATCAGAACAGTTATAAGCACCAGAAAGCTATTAGCTCACAGTGAGGGTGCAAACTTTCCAGAGTTCTCATTTTCACAGGTTTTAGCATTGAAAACAATTGCTGTCAGTCACTTTCTTTGAAGTGACAGACTCACTTCACTCTTTTCAAGAAAAATGTGTTACATACCCACATCTTTTCCAAATAATATTTCTTTTTAAATAAAAATTATGTCCCTAGAACAAAGCAGCTAACTGAGCTCACAAACAATTGTGCATGGTTTTTCTCTGGGCATACACTATACTTCAGTGTTAGCAGAAATGTTGTATGCGTACTTTCCATTTCAATACAAAGAATATTAAATGGAATCAAGAGCCAAGAAAATGTCAATAAAGTTAGTAATTCCAGTCTCCTCAAAGGCATTCACAGAGGCCTGTCTGCTGCTTATCTGCACCGAAGTTCAGCATGAAGCAAGTATGACCTGCTAGCCCAGGCAGTTTCAGCCTTAACTCACACCCAGGTGCTAGCAGTTTCACCCACCATTGAACTCTGCACCTTCACAGACATGTCAGCCAAGAGAAAGAGGCACAAATTATTCTGAAAAGAGCTGAGACTTCACAGACCCCCTTTAAAGAGATCTTAGGGTCCTCTAGGGACTTATAAGTCTCTGAAGGAACTACTCCCCTAAGTGATGTGACCTAGGCCTGACAGCTCTGGGAAGAAGAAAGCTAATGTCTCTGAAGAGCAAGTGGTGGCAGAGGGGACTCCTCTCTGTAATCACCCCATGTGAGTGGCACATACCCAGCCAATGACTGACTGGATCAACCCGGGAATGTTGTACTCCTGCAGGCGGAACAGGTCAGATGGTTCACAGTCCACAGTGAAGCTGTTGGTGTCGTTGTTGTATTCCACAGGACAGACGAAGCATCTGTACCCGGACATCACATAGGAGAGCTGAGGATGAAGAGCAGAGGGGCAGGCAAGAACACCAGCTGCAGCCATCCAGCCTGGCTGGCCAGTACTGGGTTGGGCCTCCCACCTCGCTCACTGTAAGCCTTGGGCTCAATCAGAGGTTCACGTTTCAGATTTTTCCTAAATTTTTTTTTTTTTTTTTTTTTTTTTTTTGAAGCAGGGTCTCCCTGTAGCCCCAGCTGCCCTGGAACTCACTATGTAGACCAGGCTGGCCTTGAACTCATAGAGATCCGCCTCCCTCTGCCTCCTAAGTGCTGGGACTACAGGCGTGCGCCACCACACCCAGCTTTACCTAAATTTTTAAGCAAAAAGATACATATGTCACTGGGAACTCACACATATGTACCCAAAGACTACAGGTCCTGAAAGAGCCTAGAAATGACCTGAGCAAAGAACTTTTCCTCCCACCAGGGGGAGCCCTTGTCCATTTTGCTCACGATCTCTAAACTCAGTGCTATCTGACATCACAGGAGGATGCCACAGTGACAGCCAGCACAAAAAAGGGAGAAACTGACCTGAGGATCAGAAGTAAGACGAGTGCCCCTCTAGGCAAGTCACATGCAGAAGATCTGGGTTGAAATAGCATATCTCATCTTACCCCTTACCTGGGGTGCCAGTCATCACCCTGATTTTAAAATACCAAATGTCTGGACATGAACGTGTCACCATGACTGGTCATGAGAGGGCATACAAGGTCCACATGGATTCTGCTCCTTAACTGCTTTAAAACTGGTTGGTAAAGGACAGTTAGTGTTGCTATGCTTATTACCTCTTTTGTTGAGATCACCATTGGGCAAGAGAGTCCCTGCTAGGAGAGACATATTCTCTACTCTTAGACAGCCCTCTGTCCCCTCCTCATCTAGATGGGAGCTACCACCTACCAGAAGGCCAAACACCACAGTAGCGAAGAAGCCCCCAATGAAGCCTTCCCAGGTCTTCTTTGGAGAGAGCTATGGACAGAGAACACATTGTCGGCAAAGGATACTCCTGCAACTCTAGTTTGGCACACGATTAATTATGTAAGGTATTTCTATATTAAATCTCTGTTCAGTTAATCATGTCACTTTCAGAAATCTCCCAAACATGTTTTTCTTGTTCCCCACCCTGTACTCTTCAGTTTCCCTTATTTCCATTTATCACTTATATACTTATATAGTATAAAATTATACATTAACTTAATAACAACGCTCAAATAAAGATGCCTAGAAGTATGCTATATAGTCTGTTAAAAATATTTGCTTTAGTAGATTTTTAAAAATTAAATATTTGAGCCAGGCATGGTGGTGCACGCCTTTAATCCCAGCACTTGGGAAGCAGAGGCAGGCAGATCTCTGTGAGTTCGAGGCCAGCCTGGTCTACATAGTGAGTTCCAAGACAGCTGGGGCTACAGGGAGACTCTATCTCAAAAAGACAAAAAAAAAAAAAAAAAAAAAAAAAAAAAAAAATTAAATATTTGGGGGGATGTAATGTAGGAGAATGTTTGCTTAGCATGCACAAGGCTCTGGATTCAATGCCCTATACTGACAAAAAAAAAATTAGTAAGTATTTGTCCTCTGGCTTTCTTTTTCTCTTACATATCCCCACAGTAGTATGAAGACAGGACTACAGTGGACAGCAGCTAGGTTTCCTCTCTATACTACTGTGAGCTATGACAACCTATATGGGAAATCCACTTACCTTAATGAGTGGTGTCCGACCAAAGAAAAAGCCAAACATATACGCCATGATATCATTACAGATTACACATGAAATGGGAACGATGAACCTAGAAATAAGCCCAAGAGAGTCAACTCTACCATAATTATTGTACCTTAGAAGCTAGTCAAGAGTGCCAATCATAAATTTCAGCATCAAATGCAACTCATTATAATTTAATTGAAAAAAATAAATAAATATAGAAAGGGGACTAGCTGGGAAGAAGGGGATCAGTGGGAGAGAAGTCAGAGAAGTCAGGGGTGAATATGATCAAAATATATCACATACATGTATCATAATGAAACCCATTATTATATATAATTAGTAAATGCAAATAAAAACTTGAAAACAAAGAAAATAAGCCAGGTATGGTTGTGTATACACCTGTAATCCCAGCACTTGGGAGGCTGATGAAGGAGAACTGCTACAAGTTCAAGGCCAGTTTAAGCTACACACTAAGACTGTCTCCAAAAAAGGAGAGAGGGACCAAAAATGCCATATTCTAGTACCTGATACATGGCAGGCATTCAGATATTTATTGAATGACTGAATAAATGAAGATAGCATTCTATAAACAGCTTCCAAAACTGCCATGTGTTCTTTTTTCATTACAAAGTAATGCATGAGAATAATGAACTGTAAAAGGCAGGAAAATTTTGCTTCATCCCCCATCCCTATTACCATTCCTCAAAATACCTATTTTAAATCATTTTAATTTTTCTAGTAATTTCCTGTATGTGTCTATGTGTCACGGTTGCATTTTTACCATTGCAGCACTAGTGAACCCTGGTGTTCCCTTGTATGGCACTAGCAGAAGCTAATACACATAGATACATTTTCTGTCTGCTCCCTCCCTGACTGCCATTCCTACCAGGAATAGGGCCGTTTCTACCCCACCCTAGTCACCTGAACCCTCCTCACCCTAGTACTCTTCTAATTCCCACATTACTTACTTAACCAAGGCTTCTAGCAGTCTCTATGCTCTATAACTATGTTAAGTCTTCGTAGTGAAGCCTTAACTTCCTAGTGAATTTGAGTACTAGCTACTAATAATGGGAGTTACACTTGGCCCTAAATTTGGACTTAGCACTCCTAAGAAATACCTAATACAAACTTAGAGAAGGAACTGATTGGTGCCTCCTCAAGCCATTCTAATTGTTTTAAGCCAAATGCTTAAGGCTAACTTTACATGAGCTCTTCAGAGCTGGAATACATCCCAGTTCTGAGATGAGGCTTGTGGGATTGTTACCGGCAACACTTAGCACCTCTCTCATTAAAGCAGATGTGCCTTGACATTCCCTCTAAGATCATCATCATCTAGCTTCTCCACTGACAATACTGATGAGCTTTCCTGCTGCAACACTATACTTCTGAAAGACCTCCTACTCAGAAGCAGCCTATTTTTCTTTTGACCCACAGCCAGATTCAAATTGTCGGTATTTTATTTATAATCGTAAAGGAAATCAGTTTCCCATACCTATTTCTCCCTTCTTCTTAGTTTACTGGGGTCAGATAACATTCAGCTGTTGACTCTTTGGTCCTGTTTCTTTTTCCAAGTGTGGAATTGACACTTTTCCAAAGTTCTTCTATTAACTACTGATTTACTGAAGCATGTGTCTTTCTTACCTTTAGTAGTTTACATTTGCTAGAAAATCAAGAATATTTACTCTACACTTTTGAGTGCATTGCCAGTTTGTTGCCTTTGGTTCTTTAACTTTCCCTGAGCCCGTCAGTGTAGAACAGAGCTTCTCATACTTTGGCCCTGACCAACAGCAGCAGCATCACCTGGGAATGTGCTTGAACTTCATCAGGCCCTACTTCAGACCTACTGAATCAGCTGTCTGTATCATAAACTAGCCTGCATGGAATTCTGATGGGCTCAAGGTGAGAACACTGGTTGGAAGTTGAGGCAGAGGTTCTTAGGCAACCCATGTATGAGAAACACCCACAAAATTTTTAAAAGCGAAAATTGGTCCCACAGTCACTTACCAGATCATTCCTTCAAATAAGTTATGGATAACGAGATGTGACTGGGTTACAACAATCAGTAATGTTACATGGGTCCAGCCAAACTGCAAAAAATCAAAATAAAACTCTACCTCAAAACAGCTTCAAAGAATAACCAGTGATAAACAGAAAATTACTGAGAAATAGGGACATCTGCTTTTATACCTGACATTGGAGAGGACACATTGTTCTTCCCAGTAAAAGTTCCATCAAAATCAGTCAGACCTAGGTAGTATATATACCTGCAGTCTACATTTGGAAGGCAGGATTGTGAATGTGAGGCCAGCCTGAGCTACATACAATACCCTATCAACAAACAAAAACAAACAGTAGGACCTATAGACTAGTGACTGAGTTCTTCCATGCTCTGAAGTCTGGGGATATTTCATTTTCCTAGTCAGAGAGACTTTCTCAGGTTGAGGCAGGGAATGACCACACCGAGCAATGAATCAGTCTCTGCAGCAATGTCTCTAAAGCTATAGCCTAGGCCCTGCCTGGAACAAAGACTTGCCATATGTGAATTAACAGTGTCTAAGTCCAGGTAGACACTGGGTCCAGGCACTTATCCTTCCTGCTCTAGTATCTAGATGCACACAGAACAAATTGCATCCACATTTTGATTTGTTACAGAAAGTATAAAAAGCCTGTTGAGTTTCTACAGATCATCTGGCCAGGAGGCTCAGTTGGTTAGTTTCTATAGATCTTCAAATAAAGCAAGAAATCAATCTCTCAATATATATCTCTCTCTCCGTACACACACACACACACACACACACACACACACGCTCACACACTTCCCTTACCATGTAGAACTGCAGTCGATAATGCTTCTTGACCAGACTCAATACAAACATGCAGAATCCTAGTTGGAGAAGGAAGAAGGAGAAAGGATAAAATGAGTCACACAGCATTTCTTTCATCTACTCCTTTAGCTGTGGTAAGTGGTCCACTGACTAATTCCTTTGCAACAATTAAGCAGTGCATTAATTTCAAAGTCCACAGGAGAAAAACTAGTTTACAGTCAATGTAAAGCTGAGCTGTCAGCTTGCTTCCTCACAGAGTCAGAGTTGACATCACAAAACTTTAATTAGGAACTGGAGAGATGACTCAGCAGTTAAGAGCACTGGCTGCTCTTGCAGAGGACCCGGGTTTGATTCTCAGCACCCACATGGTCTGTAACAATCATCTGTGACTCCAGTTCCAGGGATCCAATGCCCTCGTCTGACCTTCACGGGCACTGCATGACACAGGTGTACTTACACACATGCAAACAATACACTCATACACATAAAATAAAAATAATAAATATTAAAAGAAAAAAAAAACTTTAACCAAATCCTACAAGTGAGACAGAGAAACATAGTACCAACAAGAGAACTGGGGAAGCACAAGATGCATACCTGTCAGATATAGAGTAAAGGAAATGAACCGGTGGTATTTACTGAGAATCCTCAAAGGCTCCTCTCTCTGGACCAGAGTGAAGAAGTAATCTGTCACTGTCTCGCCATAGAAGAAATAGTTTACACACAGGAGAAAGTACCTGGAAAGGAAGATAGGGCAGTGCCACAGAAGGGTCCACAGCTCACCTCCAGATAGCTGGAGAAGAGGACAGAGCAGCAGCCCACCCCACCTTGAGAGCCTGTGACAGTCCTCAGAGGGATAAGAAGACCATGATTCCCTGCTCTCCACTGACACTCCAGGTAAGAAGGTGATCTATTAATTTGTGGCCCTTTCAATGTGCTCTCCCTTTATTATACACCTGAACTCAGTTTTGCCTCTTTGTGGTGTTCTTAACCTCAGACTCTCCAAAGTGCACCTCATCTACCTCCCTAAGCTCTTATTGCTCTTCCCACTGGACCACAGGAACCCTCCACTCTGGTCAAAAGTTGTTTACTGGGCTTTGCCACAGGTCAGCTCTGCTTTACCTCTTCCTTGCCTAGAACACCTTACCTTCTTCGCTTACCCACTGTTCTCATTTGTGCTCAAACTCCATCTTCAGAAAAATTTCCACATCCTCACATGCCCACATTTCTACCCACTGTTCTCATTTGTGCTCAAACTCCATCTTCAGAAAAATTTCCACATGCCCACATTTCTTTCCTTTCTTTCTTTCTTTTTTTTTTTTTTTGAGACAGGCTCTCCCTGTAGCCCCAGCTGTCCTGGAACTGGCTATGGCTATGTAGACCAGGCTGGCCTTGAACTCACAGAGATCTGCCTGCCTCTGTCTCCCAAGTGCTGGGATTATAGGCATGCACCACCATGCCCAGCTTCCTTTTTTAAAAAATATTTTATCTAATTTGTATGTGTGCATTGTACCTGTGTTGTACAATGCCTGCAGAGGACAGATGAGGGCATTGGATCCCCTGGAACTGGAGATACGAATGGTTGTTAGGTGCCATGTGGGTGTTAGGATCTGAACCTTGGTCTTCTACAAGAACAGTCAGTACTTTTAATCACTGAGCCATCTCTCCGGCTCCCCCAGCCCCCCACCCCCACATTTATTTCTATAGAAAGCAGTATCTGATCACTTCATTAGGCAATTAGTTAGGGCCCATCTCAGAGCATGTCTCTCTTGGAAGCTTGGCTCTGATCAGTACCCTTTCACTAGAACCAACTCTGCATCTGTTTACATGAGGGGACAGACACAACCCATAACTTTTGAACCCTCTATTACCCTAAGTACAGTCATGCTGCACCACCCAAACCCTCAATAGTGAAGAGGCCTCTCTTTTCTTTTTTTTTTGGTCTTTTTGAGACAGGGTCTCCCTGTAGCCCCACCTGGAACTCACTATGTAGACCAGGCTGGACTGCCTCTGCCTCCCAAGTGCTGGGATTAAAAGCATATGCCACCATGCCTGGCCCTCTTTTCCATTAAAAAAAAAAAAAATTATAGTACAAAAACTTCAAAATTGGGTTTATTTTCCATTATAAGAAAAAAAATGACCTTTGCCAAGTGACCACAGCTAGGGTCAGGCCTCCTGGATGCTAACACAGCTGACCAGCGATAGAATAGCTACAAAAGAGAGCTACACCTTAGCTCAGGGAGCACTACAAGGTCCAAGTGAAGGCTGAGAGTGAGCTTGTACTGCTGAGTGATGGGAGGCACATGAGAAGTGTGTGCCCATCTGAGCATGTCAGCTACCTTTGCTGTGACCAAGTTTCTGGAGCACAAAACACTACTGCCTGGCCCACTGAGTCACAAAGCATTAGCACAGAGGGTGGGTCTTCTCAGCACTATGCAGCACTCTGCTCAAATGACGCAACCTGAGAATAGTATGGCCAACAAGCAGGGTTTCAGTCAGGAAAGATTCTCAGACATCATCTATGCTATAGTTCTGTGCTTTTGTTTTAAGGCAGCCAAATCCTTTTCTAGGAAAAAGAAAAAGCAGAATTTCTATGCAGGAGCCCAAACCCTATGCTGCCCACCCAGCCAAGTGCCTCAGAGTAAGTAGGGCTCCAGCAGATGAAGCCTCAGCAATCTGCTTTAGTAATAAGGAAATCAAGTTTCAGAGACAGCAACACCAACAGCATTACTCGCCAACTCCCAGAGCAGTCTAGGCGACGCTAGCTTACTATAGCATAAAGAAGACTTTGATCTTGGAGCGGGGATGCCAAATACTGTATCTGGCCCCAGCAGTCTAAGGAATCCTAATACCAAGGCAAAATCTGCCCTCCTCCCCTCCACAACTCATGCTGGTTTCTTCTAGGGAAGACACCAGACTCCTAACAGCTACTGGAGACTCCTCAAAGGCAGCCATACAGTTTGGCCTATGAAAGACTCAGGTTCAACGGTAACTGTACAAGTTTGAGGTGACAACTGTCTCCACCCACCATTACAGTAAACAACCACATCCAAATCAGGTAAGGTGCCCCATGGGACCAGAGAGCTTACCAGCTGAGGGTCCTGAACCAGGGCAGGTCATAGGAGTGGTACACATTGTAGCCAATAGTGATTATCTCGTGGAAACACTTAATCTGAACACACATTACCTGCCAAACACAGAAGAATTAGTGTTCTTAGTCTTCAGAAAGGGAAACCAACTGGTTATAGGCCTTCAAAAAAAAAAAAAAAAACCACCATATTTAAGAAATTTTTCAGCCTTACAATGATTCTGTTTTCTTCCTTTCTTTCTCATACCATCCCACAGGGTAGTGTAAACCTTATGTTACAAAAAGTAGGTCCAATTGCTCATAATAAAATATACAGTCCTGCCAGGCGTGGTGGTGCACGCCTTTAGTCCCAGCACTTGGGAGGCAGAGGCAGGCAGGTTTGAGGCAGCCTGGTCTACACAGTGAGTTCCAGGCTAGCTGGGACTACAGGGAGACTCTGTCTCAAAAAGACAGAAAGAAAAAAAAAAACACAGTCCTAGGGGCTGGAGAGATGGCTCAGCAGTTAAGAGCATTTGCTAGTCTTACAGAGGACCCAGGCTCAGTTCCCAGGATCAATACGGTAGCTCTCAATAAGCTGGAACTCCAGTTCTAAGGGACCTGATACTCTCTTCTGGTATCAAGCACTGCACATACATGGTTCAGGGAAAACACTCATACACATAAAATAAAAACAAGTCTTAAAAATACAGTCCCAGTGTCCTAACTTTTATTCTAGAACCTCCCAGGACTCAACCAAGCCTCTTCCCCCTTTGACTCGGAATATAAACCATGTGGAAGGCCCCAAATTCTTTGCTTAGCACTCAACATGTAGCCCTAGCTTTAACAGTGGGGAGACTGAAAGCAGTTCTGTGGATTTCAGCTTCTTAATGAAAACTTTAAGTCCATAAGAGAGGCCCCAGGAAAGAAAACCAGTCACACAAACAAACAGCTGGGGTCACAGCTCATGCCAATGATCCTACCATTGGCAGTTGAAAGATAAGGAGTAACAGATGGTCTGAGAAGGGTTCTGAGAAGCCTGGAGCTCCGAGGATTACCAGACTCAAACCACTACAGGTACTGTAAGCAGCCGGCACTGCAGGTGACCAATCCTACAGAAAAAACTGGAGGCAAAACTAAAACAGCATGTCAATAGTACTTACAATCATCATTAAAACCATTGGTCCCAGGTAAATGATAATGAAGAAAAATGCAATCATGGCCAAAGTCAGGATGCCTCTCACCCACCAGTTCTTCCATCTAGAGAGAGTAGGGAAAGGAGAAACACCAATTAGATGCCCAGAAAGAACCAAAGCATAAACCCAAAGGAAATGGCCTTTTCTAAAACTGGAAGGCCCTGAACTAAATCTGCTCCAGAGCATGACTTTCACCTCAACAGAGGCGCTGCCACTCACAGGTGAGCGATCAGGACCACTAGCACCGATGCCTCACTCACAACCAAACTCGGCACTGCTGAAACTATACCCAGTGCACATCTTTTTTTTAAATGTCTGCATTTATGTAAGTGCACTCGTATCCTGCAATGCCTGCCAGAGTCCAAAAGAGAGTACTGGATCCCCTGGAATTAGAATTACAAATGGTTGTTAGCCACCATGTGGGTGGTGGGAACTGAACCCAGGCCCTCTGCAAGAGCAACCAGTGCTCTTAACTGCTGAGTCATTTCTCCAGCTCCCAGTACACATCCTATGCAAGTATGGGAAGGGAGAAGAGGGCAGCAAGGAAGACAGTGTCCTCTGCTTCTGTGTGTACATGGCTGATGTCCACAGCTGCTTCTCTCTGAAGAAAAGACTCCCACAATTTCTTCCTGCACCTGGCTTCTACATGGCATAGCCCTAAATCATCAAAATAGTAACGGTGGTACTAGGCAAAGATAGGAACAACTATTACAAATACACACAAGACACTTTTATAAGGATTTTATATATCAACTCAATTCAATCCTCAACACATTGTAATTGATTTTATTTCAAATGGCATTATTTTAAATTGTTATATTTGTACATATTAGATCCTGTAGCAAGTTAATGGTGAGGCTATAATTTAAATCCTTTTACCCACTGGAGGGCATACAGGAACACTTTCAGATAATCTGTGTTTCTCATATACCCACACAGCTGGTGTTAGAAGGACTAGCTTCTTAAGAGCCAGAAGTTGAGATATTTCTTAGTTCTTTCTGGAGAACTGAAGAAATTGCTCATAGTGGCTATATATCGAAGATGGGAAACTAACCCTTGAATCAGAAACCCTAACAGCCTAAATCTTCCATGGTAATGGGACAGATTGCAAGAAGCCCCCCTGCCCCCAAAAAGCATCTGCATCATAAGCCAGGTTACCTCGAGGACAAGTTGGAAAGGGCCCTGTTAAGGACCTCTGGGGTATCATCTATGGAGGCTGGTGGGGGAGCTGGTTCTGCTCGGCTTTCACTGTCTGATGCAGTCTCTCCATCTATCTTTGCTTCTGACTCCAATTCCTACAAGGCAAGGACAGAAGAGCAAAAGGTCAAAAATGCTGGGTAAACTATTGGCAAGTGTGTGACTATCATGGGAAATCTGGACAAAAAGAACCCAAACAGGGCCTGGCACAGTGAGGTGACAGAACAGATGGAGCACACAGCAATCCTGACAGTGTTCTGACATATGCGAGGCATCTGCACCATGCACAATCTGTTTACTGCCTACCCCCTCAGGAGGGGGAGATTATGGAGAAGACAGAAATGGCTCACTTGTATCCAAACAATCCAAGCAAAAAGGAGACTGTGACTGATCTCCTAAGGGCCTGTCCCTGAGCCTGCCCTTGGTCAAGTGCCTCAGTTCCATACCTGTGTTAGACCATCAGTACCCAGGAACAGCCATCCATTTCTGAAAACCCCTCTCTGCCTCTGCTATGCCACAGCACGCTGTGGAGGGTTACAGTCTCCAGAATGGCCAGTGGCACTGACTGGATTCTCAGAGGGGAAGCCAGGTATGTGACCTGTTACCCCCCATGTGTCAGTGAATGCCACAACACTCCAAAGCCCAGATGATGCTTTCAGGACTTCACACGAGCACCCTTTGAGAAGGCTGCCACTGCCAATGTGGAAGCCCCACCTTGTAGTCCATTCAAGTCAATGCTCTAGCCAATTCACCTCACCTCTGCCTCCACAAGACCCTGGTCATCAGTAAACTCGGAACTGTAACTCCAATAGAGTTGCCATGCAGGCCTGGTCCATAAAGGAAACCCCTGCAGAAACTGACCTTGTCCCAGCCTGAGAGGAGGTGTAAGAGTATACCAGTCACAAGCTCAACCCCAATACCTAGTAGCTGGCTACTTTGAATCCTACAGACCATCTTATTTCTCAGATCTTTTATTTCTTTTTTTGGGGGGGGGGGTCTTTTTAAGACAAGGTCTCCCTGTAACTCCAGCTGGCCTGAAACTCACTATGTTTTTGTTTTTGTATTTTGTCTTTTTGAAGCAGGGTCTCCCTGTAGCCCCAGCTGTCCTGGAACTCACTATGTAGACCAGGCTGGCCTTGAACTCACAGAGATCCGCCTGCCTCTGCCTCCCAAGTGCTGGGATTAAAGGTGTGTGCCACCACGCCCGGCCTGAAACTCACTATGTAGACCAAGCTGGCTTTAACCCACAGAGATCCCCCTGCCTCTGCCTCTGCTGGGATTAAAGGCATGTGCCACCACACCCGGCTCAGATCTTTTATTTCTTAAGGGAATAAATTCCTGTAAGAATAAGTAGATGGGGAAAAAAAATCAGATCACTTCAAATTGGAGCAAGAACTCAACTTGGTACTTGCAGAGCCTCCAGTGTGAACTGCATGCCTCTTCCCTGTGAGCCTCAGAGCAGAGCAGGGAGAAGGGGAGACACAGAAAGCCCTGGCTACAAACAGAAACACGGATTCTGAGGCCCAGTGCCCATGTGAACCCACATCTTCTAGTTCCAACACACTCATTCCACTACACGTTCTTTCATTTTATTTTATTCTTCACTGAGAAACTGAAAACGAAGTAGATTAAAAATGGCAAGCAGGTGTTTTTTAGCACATCTTTGAAGATCTCTGTGAAAAATACATAAACCATTACTTTTTTGAAAGTTGAATAAATTTAAATTTCTCCCATGCATAAATTCACGTTTATTGGCTATTTGAATATCTTCTTTTGTGAAGCATTTGTCAAACTATTGGTCAGTTGTGGTTTCATTTGTTTTTTTTTTGTTTTTTTTTTTGGGTCTTTTTGAAACAGGGTCTCCCTGTGGCCCCAGCTGTCCTGGAATGCACTATGTAGACCAGGCTGGTCTTGAACTCACAGAGATCCACCTGCCTCTGCCTCCCAAGTGCTGGAATTAAAGGCATGCGCCACCACGCCCAGCCTTACTTCTATTTTTTTAATTTTCTGTATGTACTGGATATTTTAGTTGTTAACCTTTCTTCTTTCCTCTTCTTTTTTTTTGGTGTTTTTGAGACAGGGCCTCCCTGTAGCCCAAGCTAGCCTGGAACGCTCTGTGTAGACCAGGATGGCCTCCATCTTCACAGAGATCTGCCTGCCTCTGCCACCCAAGTGCTGGGATTAAAGGCATGCACCACCGTGCCTGGGTAGTTTGTAGGATTTTTAAAAATGTATTCCATTTTTGCTGGGCATGGTAGCACATGCCTTTAATCCCAGCACTCAGGAGGCTGAGACAGGCGGATGTATGTGAGTTCAAGGCCAGCCTGGTCTACATAGTGAGTTCCAGGACTGACTATGTAGCTGGGGCTACAGGGAGATCCTGTCTCAAAAAGATCCCCCCCAAAAAATGTATTCCATTTTTAAGAATTTTGTGTCACAAATATTTTCTCCCCGCCCCATGTTTTCTTAGCCTCTGGATTCATTCATTCACATTCTCTGTCTCTGTCTCTCAATGCTGCTCATAATGAGGATTCTTTTATTAAATTGTCTCCCAGACTAACCATAAATTCCTAAAGGCTGGCCCATGGCATCTTGTTCTCATTTCCTCATGCCTGGCCCATATCAAAATGCCTACTAATGGGTAGGATGGAAGGAGGGAGAGAGTTAACCCCCAGTATGGTGGAGACTTAGCTGTGCCCTCATGGTGATGGCTATTTCTAAGTTAGTTTACAACTGTGATAAGAGTCTGCTGATACAAGAGACAACTGGCTCTACTAAAGAAATGTAAGGATGGCTTCACTGGCAGGGAAAAGCCACAGATTCTACCATCACTGAGTCAGATGGCTCCAAACTTTGAAGTTCCCACTTTATGAAAGGGGCCCCCTCCTCACCTGTATGAATTCCTTTTTGTGTGTTGTTTTCATTGTGTTTTACAGTCCTGGGGATTAAACCTGGGGTCTTGCACATACTAGACTACCATGCTACCATTGATCTATTCCTCAAGCCCCAAAGAGATATAACTAAACTCCATAGGAGCTGTTGTCCAACTCCACCACCTTAGAGGCTCTGAAACATACTAACACCCCAGGATTGCCCTTCTCCAGTTAGACAAAATAAAGAAAGTACACTCTCACCCTACTGGCAACCACCTACAACTAAGATAAAATAACAATGTTTTGTATTTATCTAGTACTAAACCCTAAACCTCAGGGCTTCAAAATGTGCATGGCCCACTAAGGCTCTCAGACACACTCCAGGAGCATCCAGAAGCTCCAGGAACTGAGCCAAGCACCACAAAAGGCCCAGCACAAGGTTATTTTTAATGTATCTATCCTGTTGTCAAGGAGACACAAAGGCTGCTGGATTCCCAGGCAGAAAAGAATAGGAACGGAGCCTAGTGCTGGGGAAGTTACAGGGAAGATGCTAAGACTCTCTCTGGACCGGGTGGTGGCACATACCTGTAATCCCAATACTCAGGAGGCTAAGGCTGGAGACTACTGTGAGCTTGAGGTCTGCCTGGGCTATAGAAGAAGTTCCAAGTTAGTCAAGGCTACACAGTAAAACTGTCTCCAAATTTAAAAAAAGTCAGCATGGCAGTGCACGCTTTTAATCCCATGGGGGATGATGGGGGTGGGGCAGACAGATCTCTGTGAGTTCCAGGTCAGGTCACCCTAGGCAACATAGTGAGACTTTGTCAAGAAAAAAAAAAAAAAAATCTTCAGAGACCTTTTATTAACTTCAAGCCTAATACCACACACACCTCCAAACTTAATTCTGCTTCCCCTGCCCCAAAAGAAGGATAAAGAGAGGTATCCTAAGGTACCAGGCAGTAAAAGGAAATAAAGAACTATCACAAGAGACTGCTGTCATTCCCAAAACCTCAGAGTGACTGGAATGGAGGACTAAGAAATTAAGTCTAAAAGAAGGGAATTCCCTAGGTTTTTCCTATCTCCAATGAGTAACTGCAGTCTCCCTCTCTGGAATAAGCATCCTGGGGGCAGGAGACCAATACCTCATAACACTATTCTTTCCATCAAACAAGTGAGAAAGGTGAAAGCCAGTCACCTCTCCAGCTCCTGAGCTGTAAGCCCAGGCATGGAAATCAGGATGGAACTGGCCAAGGGAACAGAAACCTACAAGAACCTAAACCTGTGGTTTTTCTGGTCCCTCCTCAACCCATGGGCAAAGACCCTCCACTGAGTAAAAGAGCTGCTCCCGTGAGGGCAAGGGAAGGGGAGTGCTGGCAGCAGCTTCCACAATGGGTCTAGAAGGAGATGGGGACCTGAAACCCAAGCTCTGGCCTAGAATAAAAGCAGCACATTGTGAACAAAAAAATACGAAGTGCTGAGCATATTCATCAGTTTGCTGCTTCTGGGGATGGCAAGACAGTCCAGGAAGACTGCGTGTGGCAGTTTCAGTCTGGGAAGCAAGGCTGGCTCATGCTCCCCACACTCAGCAACAGGTCTCCTTCTCTGGTCTTCCTGGTGGGGAAGAGTCTCTGGATCTCAGACGTTGGGGGGATAAAATGCAACCCCAATGGAAGCCTGTGGTGGCCTGTCCTGTCAGCATATCTCACACCACCTCTACTAACCTGCCCACAGCACACAGGTCGAGTACCTTAAACACCAGCTAACCTGGGTACCAATTCCAAGGAGGGTTGAGTGGAGGGAAAAACAGTGACGTGGACAGCTAATACATTACTTGAATGCAGCATCTGCCTGCATAGCTTTCTTTTTTCACAGAGACAATCCAACTAAAACATGACCCCTCCCTTGAGCCAATGTGCGATGTCTAGTACATACATGCAGGCCAGAACCTATTTCTCATCCTCGTTTCTTTCTCTTACATTTTTCAACAGGCATATTGGGACATATACACACCTTCGTATGTATAAAGTGGGGCACATGGCAAAAACATCACATACACGGCTTCCCAGAGGCCTGGGCTGCTTGTCCACAGCACCAGGCAGTGCCTGGAACATAGCAAACACACAAATATTTGAACTAACAATGAGCTAATGAACTCTACTTGACCTCCCCTAGAACACAGGTCCAGACTATGAACATACACTGTTAGAACCCAGCTGCTATTCAGGCCA